TTGTTAGGTTATGTGCCAAAAGCTCCCGGGCACACCCACGGAGGACTAAATCCCATGGTGGATGGGGGAGCCCAAAGAGTGCGCAGCCCTGGCTTCTCCCAGGCCCGTCCCAGGACCCACCAGCCTGTGAGAGGTGCAGCTCCATGAGCCCAGAGGAGCACAGGGACACAGTGGCAGGTGGGAACCCACAGTAAGGACTCAGAGGAGGGAAGGTCTTCTCTGAGCTCCTCCCAGGACTGGTCCCAGCAGACAGCCCCGACCTCGAGGCATGACACCCATCAAGATGAGTCAGTGCTGGAGCACCTTTGGGACTTAAGGGTGTTGCTGCCTAGGGGTGTAGGACGTGTTATGGGTTGCAGGAGAAGAGCAGTTTGAGATTGTGCAAGGCTTATTATGGGATGTGTAAGGAAGGAACCAAAGGTGGGGAAAGGGATGGGTTCAGATGATTTGGGGAGAAGCAAGAGTGGGAACATAGAAGAAGAAGGGAATAAAAAGGTCTGGTCATGTGTAAATAGGCTACTGGTTGGTACACTTGTCTGGCCATCTCCTGTGCCTGATCAGTGCAGTCTGTCTTGTCTTCCTGTTGAATTCCTTTCTAACTCTTTCTTGGGTGAGGGCCTCTGTTTGAGGGGAGAGGGTGTGCATCTCAGTGCTAACAGCTAGAGTCAAACCATAGGTCAGAGAGACTGCGTGTTCATAGTGCCAGCAACTGGTACAAGTGCAGGTCTGGATGCCAGCCGTTGGGCTGGTACCCAGGGCTGGAGGACTGGGTGCCAGCAACTGGCAATACTTTGTGGACTGAGTAAAACCAAGTGTCAGCCACAGGAGTGGGATTGGGGACCCATTTATCTGTGCTGTAGCACTGGAGCAAGCGTGGGTGTGCGAGGGACCGTGTGGCTGCTAGTGAAGATCAGGCTGGTGAGTGGGTGAATAAGGTGAGAGCTGGGATGTGAGTGCGTATCTCTAAGAGCAAGACCATGGAGGAGCTAGCTGTCGGAGACAGCAGGGAGTCCTGGCCAGCTGCTGGAGAGGCTGTAGGGTCAGGGGTTCTCCAGGGGTGAGACCTGCATGTGCATCTGTGTGTTTCTAAAGGCAAGACCACAGTGGGGTTGGGTACTGGGGAACCAGGGGAGTCCCAGCCAGCTCTGTGTGATGGTCTGTACCAGCAATTGGAGTTGAGCTGAAGCCTGGGGGGCTCCTACACCCAGCCAGAGAGGAGCAGGGTGAAGCTGTTCCTGTGAGCGAGTGCTCTGTGTGTCTGTCTGTGATCAGTGTGGCCCGGGATGTGTGCATGTGGTGTGTGTGTCTGCCTGCTGGGAGCAGATTTTCAACCTTGCTCCAGATTGGACCTGGGTATGGAGCTGCAGCCATCTCGCCTCTTTCGGCTGTCAGATCCAGCGTGATGTGTCTTCTTCTTACAGAGTGGTCTATAATTAAAACATTGGGTGGTCTCTGTAATGACATGGTGTTTTCCTTGCCTGTAACTGTATCAGACATACCTGTTTATTACCAGTAGCTCATTTTTCAGTCTATTTGCTCTTTCAGAAAAAACGATGAAGCCGTTTCACTGAGTGAGGAATATAAATTATCTCTTGTTTCGCCTGACTTGGGAGCCTTTAACGTTCTCCCATTCTTTGGGCACGTGCATTTATGATGCAAGTTGTTAGGGAGCAACAGGAGCTTTGCCGGTAACCTTGGAATATAGAAGAAAAAGTCTAATCCCTTAGAAATGTAAATAGGTCTTGGACCATACTCTTGAAGATAAAAACATCACTGCTTATACCTTCATATTACTGTAATTCTGCAGCTAAGCTTGATTGCTCAAAAAGGATTGCCACAGGAAGTTTTAAGTGGTGCTTGCTATAAAAGATGCCAGAATGATAACAGTGTTCGTAAATGTGCCCCTGTCCCCAGTTTTCCCTCCTATCAGTCTCCTGGTGTTTGGGTTATTCTCACGTGAAAATTGCGTGCTGCGTTGCCTTTGCTCATGTTGCTGCTCTTGGGGTTGAAGCTGGCAGCCACAGGACTGTGTGTGTTGTAACCAGGCTGTGAAAATGGAGAGAACATGGAATGCAGAGTCCCGAGAGGTCTCTAAAAGCAAATGTAAAAACCTTGTTTGCATAGCTTTTAAGCTTTTGGCTTACTTGTGTAGAGGATGTAAGTTCAGTGAGTGTAAATATGCTATTTCAAAGAGGATCAGAGTATTTTTTCATTTGTCCGTGCGAGTTGAAAGGGCTTTGTCAAGGTGTAGTGAATAAGAGTGGTGCTGAAAGACCAATATTAGGAGACAACGTTTGGTAAGAAAGGAAGATCAACTTATAAGGCCACTAAGATGAGGATGTGAGGAACCTTAAACCAATGTGCCATTAATAAACTAGTGTATGGAGAAGCAAATGCACCGACAATTTTTGGTGCGTTTCTCTACTATTGTTTCTTTGGAAGTCTTGGACGCTTTCTTTTGCAAAGCCCTTCAAACGCAGGCTCTCAAAGGAAGAGGTTGTGACCTGTGAGTATTTGCATGTCTATCTGGCACAGATCTCAACTTTTGCAGGATGGAATGGTTTCTCTTTGGAACAAAGGAACTTGTATAAATAAGTTCATCAAGGATTATTTATATGTTGTTTGAGAACTTGCCACTGATTCTGGAGACTTGTTTAGGAATCTTTAGCTAAAGTATTGCTTTCAGGAAATTGCTATAAAGTGAGGAGGTAGTTCTGTGATAGCTGGTTTTAAGTATAAAATATAAAAACTATATTCAAGAAAAACTGCTGAGTAACAGTAGAAAGAATAGATACACCTTGGTTTACAGTACACTTGTCCTCATTTAGCACCAATTTGTTTTGTGTTGCCAGGGAAAACCAAAATGATCCCAAAAGCAGTACAGACAGAAGAAAAGGCACCAACACCCTTGTGTGTCGGGGTTTATAAAATGTCACCAGCCTATCCTAATGAAGGATCCACGATCACAGATGTGAAGGGGGCTGGTAAAGGCTCGTGTTAAGGCCATAACAAATGGAAGGAGGTTAGATCTAGACTGACAGGTGTAGGCTGCTGAGTAACTGCGTAACGTTGTCTCATGAGCTACTGAAGGAAATTCTGTACTGCTTATTTTCATTCCCTGTTATGCACACACAGTGTATGCGTTTCAAGATAAGATCTCTTGTGTTTTCTATGTAGACTTTAATAACCTAAATCATGGAATCATAGAATCATAGAATGGTTAGGGTTGGAAGGAACCTCAAAGATCATCTAGTTCCAACCCCCCTGCCATGGGCAGGGAAACCCTCCACTACACCAGGTTGCCCAAAGCCTTGTCCAACCTGGCCTTGAACACTGCCAGGGATGGGGCATCCACAACATCTCTGGGCAACCTGTTCCACTGCCTCACCACTCTCAGAGTGAAAAATTTCTTTCTTATATCTAACCTAAATCTGCCCTCTTTCAGTTTAAATCCATTGCCCCTTGTCCTATCACTACACGCCCTTGTAAAAAGTCCCTCTCCAGCTTTCCTGTAGGCCCCCTTTAGGTACTGGAAAGCTGCTATAAGATCACCCTGGAGCCTCCTCTTCTCCAGGCTGAACAGCCCCAACTCTCTCAGCCTGTCTTCATAGCAAAAAATGGTAATGAAAATGGTAATGAACCACTCTGTTAGACAGTTGGAGCCCAGCATTAACTTGTCAAATCTTCACATGGACCTGCCATGCTGCTTGCTTTTCTTCTCAGACTTGCTCCTGCTGTTAGATGATGGCTCTTGACTTCTCTAGTCTCAATTTTGGCTTGACAACAAAATTGATACTTAGGCTTTTTTAAATCTGTGGCAAAGCAGCACAGTCCTGCTAGACTGGTAATCCTGTAACAACATGGTGGGACACAGCTTTCTTGAAGTTTGAGTTGAAGTCTGTTGGCAGTTACCTTTTTTGCACAGTCTACACGTGCATTTGTACTACCAAGATAATGATTGTGTTGCTCATGTAGTCCAAACACCAGCAGCCATTCTGGCACATTGTAGCTGGGAGAGGTAAACAATAAATACCCTCTTTACCACCTCCTACCTTCAGTTCCTCAAGCCTTCACTCTTACCCATGCTTAGCTTCATATACTGAGTATTACAGCCATGTGCATAGCTTTCCTTTTCTGTCTTGCAGTTCTTTTTGGTTGACATGTATAGTTGGTTACAGTTAACTAACCAAATTGTTAGCTTTTGCATTCATTTGATACAATAAACGACTCGCATTATCCATTCATTGGTTTTCCCATTAACTTCAGCCATGTACTGTAGAGCAGTTACTTAAGTTTTATTTGAGATTGAAATTAATTCCTAAAGAGAATTGAAAGACTAACATTGCAGGAGGTATGTATAATTTGCATAATTTACACTCTGGTGACTTTTTATGTAAGGAGAGTTGCTTTAATATTAGTCTGGCCAGTTTGTTCTAGAAGATGCTGATAATGTAAAGGTTGGTCATTTTGGATGATGGTGGATCATAGTCATAAAGATGAGCTCTTTTCTTCCACTGTTACACAAATCTAGTGCAGTTTGACAAGTAGTAGTTGCAGTGATTTTACTGTCATCTGACTTCTTACTATTTTACTGATGGTGTTTATCTGTGCTCGAAATAGGGCTGCTGTGGTTGAAAGACTTTAGGAAGAACATAAGTGAAGTGACAGCAGGGAAGAATGTTCTCAAGGTGAAGTGGCAGGGACTGCTTTTCAGTATAGCATGCCAGTTTTGCACACTTTATTTCTACTCTTCAATTAGTATTACAGTTGTATTTGCAAGAGCTTTAAGGGCTTTTAATATGTTAAAAGGTTTCTTTTAATCTTGGTGCATAGGAATCTGAATTGTTTTAATAAGAAAGTCAAGGTGATTTTGGTAGCCTCTTTATTGCTTAATTAATTGCAGTGGAGCAGCTCTCCACTTTATTTACCTAAGTGCATAAGGCAGCAAGTTCTTGTGTTCTGCAAGTGGTAACTCTTTTCTTTTCTTCATATTTAGGAAGGCTGTGGAAGAGTTGCTTAAAGAGGCAAAACGTGGGAGAACCAGAGCTGAAACAATGGGAGCTATGGGTTGGTAAGTTGCGCCAAGAGGAAATGGATGCTATGACCAATGCCAAAATAAATTTTGCATTTAATGTGTGACAGAAGTCTCTATCTTTTAATTTGCTTTGTGTTTAAATTTGTCTTCATCCAGGTATTAATTTGTCTGGGCAAACATTTGAGTCCAGATAAGAAAGAAGTTGAAGTAGATTCTACCTGTATGGAATTGCTTGACCGAATGTGTTGAAATCAAAGCAGTTGGAAAACTGGGAGTAGCTTCTGTAATAGTATTTCCTTATAATAGATGGAATTGCAAAGTTTGGATTGGAGCCTCGTGAGTCTTTAGAAAACTGGGGAACTTCAGTGTGCATGTGCTTACATACTGGCCACACGTTGCTGGGTTAGATTCTGTTTCAGTTAAAAGAATTCATAACCTGACAAAGAAACCTAAACCCTTAAAACAATAAAAATAATAAATGATCTGCTATTAGGGAATCCTTGTGTAAATTGCAGCCAAAAATGAACTCAAAGGTATAATCCGATTTTGGAAGGAGGTGTTTTTTTTAATACTAAAAAAAGCCTAGGGGTTAATTTGTATAGCAAGTAGGAAAAGAATCACAGTATTTAAATCTTAAGTGAAATACAGTATTAATTGTTCAATGCAGTGTTTCAGTATTTACAGCTAGATTATCATGGAATGTAATGCATGTAATTGTAATTAAAGAAGCAATAACATGCTGAGAAAGAGTCATTCATCTTCAAATAGTGTACATGACTTTGATAAGAAGCTGTTGGATCTAGGGATGTTCACACAAGTAGTGCACCTGTTGACTGTGTTAAACTCATTTGTAGATAACGTTCGGCTTCCTCTACCAACAGTAGTAAAAGATAAGCCTGCACCGTTAATGAAGTTCTCAGCTGATTTCGTGGCTGTGTTTGTTTTAGTAGCCCTGAATAGATTAAAATAGTGTCTTGCTGGAAAAAAGTTAATCTTTTATGTTTTCTAAACAAGTTTTGTGGTTTTTTCGTATTTTACCCAGTATTTCTGATAGGGATACAGTTTATCTCCTTTATGTTAAAATAGTTCAATCGTTTGATCCCCTAGAGTGGTATAGCTACACAGATACAGCATGCTTTTACCCTGTCAGCCTTGCCAAATAGCCAGGGAAACCAATGCGGATAATTAACACTGTGAATGTTGCATGCATCCAGTTACCATGAATTTGCAAGTTAATTCCAGGTGTGGAGACTGAGCATTTCTGTTGGGAGATAACCAAGCATCCCTGTGCTACTTTGCTGCCACTTGTGCAGTCTGGAATACCTGCCAGGCGCATGTATGGGCTTCTGCTCCTGGCTCCAGCTATCTCTTATTCGTTGTCTGTAAGAGAGTAGTGATCCTGCTCAGCTGCCTGTGATGATCAGCTTGGGGGTAACATGCAGTTTACTAATGCCCAAGACCTGCCAGAGAAGGGAACAGCCAAGAGTGACCTGTTCTGCAGAACAGTTGCAGATTCCACTAGAGTAAAATAGTGGCTGGCGAGTCCAGGGCTGTGTTAAAGGTGTAGGAGGAGAAGAGAATTGTCAAGAAGGCTTCAGGGAGAGGAAGGCTGTTGACTTAGGGATTGGCATGGTGATATCTTGAACTGGGACTGTTGAAGTAAGGATCCTTTCAGCTGCAGAGGAACATGAAAGCTATACTCAAACAGAGTCAAACAGAGGATCCATCTCTGCAGTACCCTGTCGCCATCAGTGACCAATAGCCAGTGCTCAGGAAATGAAGGAAGAAGGGTACAAGAAAGTAGCTGTACTTCCTCAAGGTACTGTCCCACCTTTGGGCAGCCTGCAGTTCAGGATATCCTGCACTCAGAGATGATTTTTTTTTGTGTATGATGCTTCTCTAGGGATTTTTCCCTCTCTGAATTTATCCTTAGAGAGACTGATAGTAATCCTGTTTGTCATAAATCTGCTGCTGCAGAGCTTGGCATAGGTTAGAGTACAGCTGGTGTGTGTGGCTGTAAGGAAGCTATAAAGCCTCCCACAGACAGGCTCTTAATAAGTCTTCGATGTCTAGTTCTGCAAGTGCAAGAGACGAACAGCAGCTGGAAGCTGCCACTGCGGTCTTCCCTTGAGCACTGTTCGTGCCCCATTGTGCTGTTCTGGTCCTTCTGAACTGGCCCAACGGCTAGGTGTACTGCATGTACACGTGGGAGATGAAATAACCAGTAAGGTGTTTGGAAGGAAACTTAACTGTTCTTAGTTGAGTATCACACTCCAGCAAAGATGTAACTGACGTTACAGTAAATCCTGAAGGGCTTCAGAGACTAGATCTAGGACTGACATGTAACCTTGCAACTGTAAGCTACTGAGGGGATGGTAACTGTTGCTCTGAGCTTTGTGGATACCAATTGAAATGAGCAGAAAATTCAGTGCATGGAAAATGTCTATTAGTAGACCAAATCCAAGAAAGCATAACTGGTAGATGCGAAGAGACAGAGTCATCGCCAACTTGTCTAAAAGCACAGTCTTAACAGGTAAAACACAAAACCTTCCTTCCTTGCCAAACTCAAAATACTTACAGGTGTGTTTCATGAGGACTTCTGGGATTTCCTCAGCCCTTTGTCAGAGGAGTCCTGGAGAAGAGATGCACAAACCCTGGAGACATCTAGTGTAAGGCCATCAATCCTGCATTGACACTGGATAGTTGAAGCAGCTCGGCCTATGAAGAAAAGATTTGTTCTGCCATCTGTCTTTGGGTAAGGAGAAGCAGAGGCTGCTACTGCTCATACTTCGCTGATTCCAGTTTATGTTGCTCTCCAGCAGCTGTTGGATACTGGGAAATACATTTCTGGAGTCAGTGGTGTTTGCCAGGAGTTGGTTGAAGGGAGGTGTGTGGGGAGGTGGCATTCCCGGGAAACTGTATTGTGCATACCATTCCAAGGGAGTTCTCCTGGTGGGTGTTGATGGCAGCAAAACCTTAGCCAGCAAGCCTCTGAACACTGTTTTGGGATGGCTTTCAGATTCAAGCCACTGCTCCGTTACTGTCCAGAGTGTTTAGTTTCCTACAGCTCAAGTGCACTGCTTGAAGAAGTTCCCCAAGCACCCCTGCCTAACTTTTCGTTGTCTCCTCATGCGAGAGGGATAGTCAGCTGCTGTTTCAGCCTAAATTGCAAGCATCCAAGCTAGCATAGCTGACAGGTACAAAATAAAATGTACCAAACAGTCCTCCTTTAGCCCGTGGTATCTGATAAAAAGGCTCAGCCTTGAAATATGGGACAGCGTTGCTAGTATTTCTTCCAGTTTGGGAATGTTTTGCCAGTGTTACATTGTCTTACAAGTTTGCTGCGGATGACATGGGTAGATGCTGCAACTTATAGGGGTTAGATGGTAGTAGAAGAAAAGCTTGTCTCAAACAGGGAGCTTGGTGGTGATATCAGGCAAGAGCTTATGTGGGAAGGGAAATTATCTGAGACTCTCTGGACATGGAGCAATTGCCAGTATTGCCAATGGGCTGCATGAGCTCTTAGTTGGTTAAGAGTCCCAGCTCACTGGCCTCCATGCTCTCAGGACTGCTTAGGTTGGCAGTATTTAGGTCCATGGCAAATTAATCCAAGAAATACTGGGTATTTGTATTTGTAGATCTCACGTTATTTGCTCGAGTATTGACTTGTTCCTTGGATGTCCTCAAGATTCTTACTCTCAGCACTTCAGTATTTCTAGTTCCTGCAGTGCTCCTTTTCTATTTACTCTTTGCCCATAGTGATTCTTGTTGGGGGTCTCCTTCATCCTGGTGATACCACATGATGTAGATCCTGCTGCTGATGTATCTGGTTCAAGCATTAGTGAAGCTAATCGCAAGTAAGGAAATGTGTGAGAGAAGGAGAAAGGAAGATCCTTTTCTGAAGGTGTCTTAATCCTGGAAATCTTGAGTAAAAGAGAGCAGAATCTGTGGCTAAATCTCAGTGATGCTGCTGTAATGCTGGAACTTCTGAGATGAGAAGAGACATCAGAGCAGCTGTCTGAAAGTTAACACTTGAAGCGCCAGCTGGATCCAGGATGGGAAGTTGTGGACAAATAGTGGAAGAACAGTTAGGTAAATGTAGCCTTGATTCATCAGATGAAATAAAGCTGTGAGATATTGGGATTTCTATTGTGCATCTAGGTAAAATCAAGCTAAAAGCTTAAGTGGTTTAGTCAGTCCTATGTACATAATTCATAAGCTGCTTATGGCAGTGGAGTTAGGTCCCATTTTAAGGGGTTATTCGCTTTCAATTGAAAAAGACAGTTAAAGTGCCACAAAAGCTACTGTGTGGACAAGTTCTAGAGGCTATTTTTCTTTTTTTCTCCAGTGTATTGGTCTGGTATTCAAAGATGCTGGTAGCAAGTGAGCTACGGCTGAACTGAATGTGATCTTCTCTGCTTGCTAAAATACCTAAAATAAGATATGGAAAACAAGATACTTTGGGATGGTTTGTTCAGCTCTGCATTGTAAGAGCAAATGAAAATGCAAAAAGAAGATGGACATTGGAACCGTTAAATTATTTTTAACCCTATTTCTTGCAAAGCAATCCTAAAATTGCTTTCATTCCTACAGATAGCTTTCTATTCAATATCAAATCTGTTAGAAGTACTGCAGAATACAAAGTAATGAAGATGAGGCCAAAGGGTTTGAGGGCAGCGGAACTGCGAAATGCTGTGTCGCATCTTGTCTTTGGCTGGGTGTTGCATGACTGTGCGGAAACACTGTAATGTGTTTTCACTACATCGGGTTTGTTTGAATGTGAAGAGGAGGAGAGACAGGTTACAGACAGAGGCTGCAAAGTAAATATGTTAAAATCTTGTGATCAGAGCACAAGTTCGCATCCAAAGTCCTGCCAGCTGTATCTAGCTGCCAAGACCATACATAAAAGCTTGCAGTGTATGGCATCCTCTTTTGTGAGATCCTCTATGAAAGGATAACAGCCTAGATGAGTTGGTTTGGCAAAACAACCTCTAGCTGCCTTTTTTTTTTTTTTTTTAATTTTCCCGTTCAGTCACTCTTCTGTTAAGTACTATATTTTCCATGGCAGTTTGGAAGTGGTAGAAATGTATTTGTAAGTTCATGCATAATGAACTCTGTTTCCTGGAAAGATCTGATTTACTCCATGTGCTGAGGCTGACTGTGCCAAGCCTGTTTGGTATGTCTGGTTACTCAGCGGAGAAAAAGACTGTGGCACATGGCACTGTATTCTCATGTCTTAAGTGGTGTCAGTGTGTTTTACTGGTAAGAAGTTGTATGGTACGCTTCTGTGCTGAACTGCACCGCTACACTGGATGGCAGGCATTGACTGGAAATTCTGTGTTATTGCACAGAAGTTGGCTTAAAATGTCAAAGACAGGGTTAAGATTTGACCTGTGTTCACAGTAAAGGATTTAATCTTTTTTTTTTCTTGCTCAAAATGCTATGTTGACACTTCATCATTGCATAGTGGAGAGATTTTGAGGTTTGTGGGACTTGTCTGTGGAGGGGGATGAGGTTCTGTGGGTAAGAATATCTTGGTTTAGCTTATTGGAGCATACAAAGCAAAACATGAACCCTTACATGGAGTGAATACATTGCTACAGAACTGGAGTCCATTTTGCAGACAAGACTGCTCAAGAATTGCAGGTTGCGTACTTGCTTTGGTCACACCTGCAGCTCTGCTCCAGTCATGCTTCAGTTCAGAACTTTAATGTTCTTTTTTTTTTTTTTTATATAGAAAAGGAAAAGCTTTTAAAAGCTCTTCTGTGGCATTGTTCGCTAGTCAGAAGTGTTGCATCCCACCTTGCATAGACCGAGCTTGCCCCCCAGCCCTTCAGAACTTACATTGAGGGCAATGCTGTCATTGAATAAAGTGTTGCAGAATCAGACCTATAGCAAGCCAAAGGCTTGTCTTTGGGGAGGTCAGCTGTAAAAATATTTTACAATTTTCTCACTATTAGAAACGCTCTTAAAGATACTGTGGGTTAATACAGTTCATTTTTAATCTTCACAGTCCCATATATACTGTGGATATATGTAAACGTTATGGGCTTGTGTGTGTGCATGTGTAACATAGCATGTGCCACACATCTCATTTCCTTTAAAACTCAAAGGCAGAATTTGCTTTGTTGAAGTCTGAGGTCATTAAAACGCGAGACTGATGTTTCTCTTCAGTGCCGTAAGTTACTGCTGCTCCGTGAAAGCCCGGTGGCTCACTTTTGTCACTGATGGTGAACTAATGGCATCTCTTAGCTGACTCTGAAGCCCTGCATTTCTCATCGGTTTTCATTCTTAGTGTAGCTCAGGCAGCACTCAATAATGCCAAAAAGAAAAAAAAATACTTTAGCAAGGTGAATTTATTTAGGGCAGATTGCCTCATTCCGGTGCTCTATATATTACTGCTTAATCGATGCATTAGCTCTTAAGAAAAAGCAAGAGGAAGGAGACAAATGTGAAATAGTTTTTGCCTGGATGCAGCCCAGAGAAAGCTGCCTTCCTTGGTAGGAAATGTTGAGGTACAACAGTTTAATGCTGGCATAAGACGTACAAAGGGCTTAAATGTTGGCTGATTTACATTATGTCTTGAGTGTAACCTGTGCCATGGCATGTTCAGCACACCTTTGTAGCTGATGTACCTTAAAGTAGAAACCCTATTCAGCTGATGTATGTTAGCCTTGTATTTTTACTGAGTAATACAGTTAAAGGATAAATACCGTCTCCCTAATTTACAAAACAGCTGTACTAGGTACAGATCTAGACTTTTTTTTTTTAATCCAGGATTTGAGCAGAACAGTGTAGATTTATATGCAGAAAGTTTAGAAAACTCTAAAACTAGTTATGCTGTAGAAATGTGGAAATGCGGAAATAGAACACTGTGGCTGTTTAATGTATACTTGTAAAATTACTCCCAAAAGTTCTTTGAGGATTTAGGACAAGAACGATTATCAGTAATGCTTAATAGGCAGACCTGAAGCAAACACCATGATAAATGCCATGTCCAGTTAAAAGTCATTAAGTATGCTAAATAATCAGATGTGATTTTCATGACAATTTTCTTGTTATTCTGATACCTCTGATTATTCACAAAATTATACACAAAATATTCAATTAGAATAGATGATCTTAACGTTGTGGTGTTAGGATTCATTGACTCCATAGTTGATTCAGTAAGGGTCACTGTGATCTCCAACAGCTCGTGCTATTTTAGGGTAATTCTGTAACTTCTCAGAATGTCAGAGAATGCAGACTCAAAAACGCAAAGACAAAAACCACAGTGGCTCCCACTATAAAAATAGTCTTCAGAGTGGTTTCTGCTTACTGCAGGGATATATTCAAACTTGTTTTTTCTCATTCCATTCTTTAAGAGATGATGAATTGAGAATGAGTACAGCTGATACCACAAGATAAATGAGATGTACAGTACTTGTTTACTAAAACTAGCTGATAAATTTATGCAAAAGTGTTAAGCTGCAAGAGGAGAAAGTCAGAAACAATGGGAAAAAGTTGGATAAGTATCCTTTCTGTTTAAGAAAAAGAAATAAAACATTTTGTTTGGTGGTTGTCAGATATGTTAAAATTGGTGTGCCTCGTGTATTTGTTTCATCACTACAGCTCTTTGGGTTCTTCATGCAAGTGTATCTTTTACATTCTGAATATCTCAGTTTGTTAAATAATGCTGACTTTAGTAGATTATGGTCTTGTAAACTATTCTGATTTGACTGCGAACATGTTACTAAATATTTGATTCCTGAATACCTAAGTTAAGCACCATCAACCTTAAAATACATTGTCATCCTCTGCTTCCCCCTGCACACACTACCTTGTGAAAATCATGTGGTTTTTCACTGTGTTGAAGTAGAATAATTTTCATCCTGTTAAGAGTAAGATAAAAGGAGAATGGAGAAAACCTTGAGCATATCTTTCTGTACTGAGAGTTTACACTAGGTGGCATGCAAGGAAAGCCAAAAGCACAAACTTTTCTTAAAACTGTTGAAGTTAAAATCTCAGACTTGTTTCAGGATGTTTTTATCTTGTCTTTTGACCACTTTTAAATGTCTTTACAGGTTGAAATGTCCTCTTGCTGGTACGAATAAAAGATTTCTTATTAATACCATCAAAAACACGTTACCATCTCAAAAAGAACAAGACCAAGAACGTGAGCAAAAGGAAGACAGTAAAGAGCCTGAGCCAAACAAAAGCAGGAAAGAAGAAAAACCAAAGAAACGCAGAATTCACCCATATACACCCAGCTTTCAGTCCAGAAGGAGAGTCAGCTACTCTCCTCCGAGGCACCGAAACAGGAACCAGCACACAAAGGATAAGCATGAAAAGCGATCAAGCAAACGATGAGAGGAGGAGAATGATGAATACGTGTTGTTACAAGCCAGGAACGTCATTAAGTGTCAGACTGCAGGGATGTCTCAGTTTTTCAGGAGGAGATGCTGTTCAAAATTGAATTTTGAACCGAGTTGCTTGTGTGAGAAGTAACCTTGAGGTAGCTTTAGAAAACCTTTGTTCGGGACCTTTAAGAGGAAAGCAGAGTGCAGTGTGAATCTTTCAGCTGTTTTAGAACAGACATTCCTTTCCCTTTGCTCTGTTCCTCTCTCCCCTTCTGGCTAAGCTTAAGGTCTTGGTGATGGAGTGTGATACGTGTGTCACTGCCTGATACAACTCGTTTAGTCATGTCACTCTTCTGGAAAGAAATTTAAATTATGCAGAAATCTATTTATTGTGTGAAGTTGGCAGAACTTCTTTGCTGCTAGCTGATAAAGAAGTTTTGTGTGTTTGGGTTAGTTTAGTTTTACAGAATCTAGAGGAAGGGAAAGCTGGTCAGTGCCTGGCCAAGCACTTACATTTTGTATAGAATATAAAAGTTTGCTTTCTTTAGTATAAAAAGAACAAATTTAAAATGGGCAACGCTGGTTTTGCTTTTCAGGAGAAGCTACCAGGAAGCACTGATTTTGCTTGTTATTGTATATTTGCAAACCTGTCATAGATAATAATAAATATTACCCCTAAAAAGCCATAACTGCAATAATTGTCTCTGTTTAGACTTCCCACTGTAAGGAAGTAGTTTGAACAGTCTGTTGTCATGGTGCTTTCAAAACAAACCTTGGAGACAAAGTTATTGTAAGTATTCTCTGTCCACTACTGGGAAGTTTCTAAGCAGATCTGTAATACTAGAAATGCAGAGGTGATACTTTAAAAACAGTCAAATGCTCACTTTCCAGGCCTGTGTGACAGTTCTGTAGTGGTACAGCTCTTACACCTGTGGCTTGGAGCACGTATAATACACATCGGCGTATCCTACATCTCACTTCTGTTTGTGTTACAGTAACGCACTTCTGTGTGAAACGTTTTGTATTTCCATGTTCTCGAAAGTAATTGTTTTGAACATAGGTTTCCGTTTTTAAGTGTGTTGACAATAAAATCGACAACGTTCATTAAAAGTGCTTTGTGGAATTAATGCTTTTAATGGGTATCTTAACTGTCACGGGCCTCTCCTCTAAGGGAAAGGCGGACCAGCGTGTTGTGGTCCTTCAGTGTTGTGTCAGGGCAAGAGTGCCACCTATAGGCTAAGCTATACCTCGCCTTGCTGTACTTAACCTGTCTCTTGGAAAGATCATGTTAGCTAGGAGATCAGGAGACCAGAGAGGAGATCTGCTGTGGCTTGGCTCAGTTTTGGTGCATGAGCTGGGAATTACTCTTCTGAGTAAGGGGTAGGTAGTTAAGCTAGTGCTGAGGCCAAGGTCAGCCTATCCAACAAAGTGGGATACTTCTACATTTCCACTGAGGAGTTGCGGATAGTTTCTCTGTTTCCCTGCAGGAACCATAGCACTGTAATAGAAGTCTGAGCCTTTCAGAAAATTTCCAATGATTTAAGCAGGATCAGGGAAAAAGTAGCATCTTTGGAGAATGTAGACTACCTTTGGTTTAAATAAACAGATGTGGCTTGCAGTCCTTGTTTTGCTGGACACCAGTTGTATTCTCCTTAATAATCCTTTTTTGGAAGGACAGCACCTATAATTCCAGCTTGGCTCTGCTGTGGTGACAGTGCTGGATGGATGTGACTTTGCAGCAGAGGCTTCATCACACTGTTGGTCAAGATTGGGACTGGAGATGTTGCACAGAACAAATCCCCATGAATTCTTGCCGGTGTGGCTTGTGGTGATAATATAGTGTCCAGAGAGCTTTCCATGCTCAGGCCTCCGAACACCCCTTTAGGATAAGTGCTGCTGTTGATTCTACATTAA